CTTCCTCTTCAGGAAAGGGGCTTAGAGCTTCTGCAGGCACTAATTTAAAGCCAAAGCCCCGCCCCCTCAGACCATGTGGTCAAAGGGTCAGCCTACCAGGAAGAACTCACCAACTAAAATGGCCCCCAAGCACAGCTCCCTCCTGCCTCTGCTTCCTCTTCAGGAAAGGGGTAGCATAACAAGGTAGCATTTTGATGTTAATATATAATCATCACAAAGTGTATTGACTCCTGTGGCACTAAAGTTAGATTTGACTAACTTGCAATCTGAAGATCACTTGGGGTGCAACTACACAGCAAGGGAAATGCAATTTCCTTCACATTCATTCACTGAGAGGTTGCATTGAGGAATTCCAGTTTCCAACTGGCTACAGAGGAAGAGAGAGGAAGCCTTATTAACACATTGTTTGCAATAGCCCAGCAGGCGGCACTGATAAAAGGGAACGGTCCTTAATTGTTTAAAAAGAAAAAAAATCTTCTCAAATGGGTTTTGTTCATGCTGCTCCCTGCTTGTGTGCTGGCTTCCCCCTCTCTCTGCCCACAGAGAGGAGTCAAGGAGTCGAGGGAGAAGGTGCAAGTGTGTGTCTCTGTGTGTAACTTATCCTCCCTCACAAGGCAAGAGGTGAGGCAACTCTGAGATATTATAGGGCTTTACCACCATTTGCAAAGCTTCTCCTAACCTTAAAGAGCAAGCTTTGTTAAAGAATAAGCTGTATAACCTAGCAATTCAGCTTGCCCAGCCTGGGACAGCGCAAAGACAATCTGTTCATTCATGGTAGTATTTACTACCCAAGTTAGGTAAACAGCCCACAGGTAGTGTGGCTGAAACCTACGTGTGTCAAGGTCTTCAAATTGTACTTGAACTGATGTTCCAGCACAGCTTGCAAGCATGTCAACTGGACTCAAGTTCTCTTGAACTTGTTTCAGGACGTTCTCCACCTATGCACGATCTTTGGAGAACTTTTCAACTTCTTGCTTGGCCCTCGTTGCTTCTAATTTCTTGCAATTGGGGTTATAAAAGCACCTTGTTTAAAGCATTCAGTAGCAATGCTTTTTCCAATGCCACTGCAACCACCAGTCACTACTATGTGGGCACCAGACAACAATAACAGTTTAGGGCCGGTCAGTTACACAACTAGACAGAAAAGCAGCAGGAAGGCCTTGAGGAGGGTGACCTCATGGCCACCAGCAACAGAATGACACCTGTCATCTCTGTGAATGGGAGCCAAGAGAAGCCTAGCAAAGTGCAGGAAGAAGATACTTCCACTCCCTCCCACAGCCTCTGCTTGACTCAACAAAAGGTGAGGAGGACCAGATATATGTGTGCACTACTCATCCTCCCTTACAATGCAAGAGTAATAGGGGAAAGGGTAGTATGTGTGCAGCTCATCTTCCTTTTCTGCATTGGTTCAGGCAAAACCAATGCAAATGTATCCAGCTTTTGAAAAACTATTATCCTTAGAGGCAGAGGGGGGAAATAGGGATGAAAGGAGGACTCTGGGTTGATTTGAATTTCCTTCTGCATCATGTAGTCAAGGAAAACAAAAGTGAATTATCCTGCCCCAAAACTGTAGCATTTTTCACATTTTTTCCTGTGTACATAGCCTCAGCTAGAAGTCCCATTGAACTGAAGGGACTTGCTTCTTAGTGGACCTATATTGGATTACATTGTAAATCCCATTGAAATTGTAAGGAACAAGCTGCTATGACACAATTAATGGACGTCCCACTGCTTTCAAGTGATATCTCAAGATCAATTGTTTAAAAGTTGGCCTGTATGGAAAAGTACCTGGGTGCAAGTGGGGAAAGCTTGTGCACAACAGCAGGCATAAGGCAGTTGGGTAAAACTGCAAGATCATCTTTGCCCTAAAAGCAACTAAACACCAATTTTCTGAACAAAACCAGTGCTACAGATCTAAAGAAAGTTTACCATATTACATTTAAATTACTAGGAGATACACAGATCACAACTGATATTTAAGCTCAGAGGGAAGTACTCAGGGCTAGCTTTTATTTATTCACTTGTTTATTTAATTTTCTTTATTGCTATTTGTATGCCACCCAACAAGACTACCCTATGGATATCTTACAACACTGTATTTTGAAATACTGTGAAATCAGTACAACAATGTGGGGGGGGGGACCGTTAAAATGTCATCACCAGCGAATAAATAGCATATAAAAATAAACATGGATGCCCAAAATTCAGTGGATTAAAAGATCTAAGAAAATCTAAGTTTATCTACATGTAAGCCAATGAATATTGTGGAAAAGCAACATGGGAAGGATATTGTTGAGTCTCAGCAACATACCTTCAGATGCCCTCAGTGCTGGAAGAAAGATCAGCAAACAGAGATTTTTGCTCACACTTCTGAGAAGTAGCATTCTGTCCTTTTTGCAGGACTTGTAAAAACAGAAAGAAGCTAAGGACCAAAGAGAAGTGCTCCTAAGTGTCAGTGCAGAATCTGAAGAAGATTAATAAACTCCTCTCGATGTTCACCCTCTCCAATCAGAACTGACCAAAACTTAAGCACACAACTCCCTTATTTGATTTCTGCAGATAGGACAAATAATATGTGTCCTCAATCACAAAATGAGGAAAGAGTTTGATAAAGTCTTCTTAGGCAAAATAGGTGAAAGTTTAGAAATGGTGCAATAGTTTTGTACGTACATAAAAAGAAATAGGGTTAACTCATTCATTTCCATTGATACAAACTGAGATAAATGTTCTGTCATCTCAGACCACCAGAAGATTTTTCAATTCTCTGACATCTCCCTATCTCCATAAAGCCAATTATGAAAGAGCGAGAAAAGTCTCAGGATGTATGAAAAAAAATGTAGAATTCTTTCACTTTAAAAGGTGCCCATAGCATTTCAGCATAGACAGTTTATGGCCTTCTTCACTGGCTATACAAAGACAACAAAGAGGGACAACTCACTGAGTTCAGCATAGACAGTTTATGGCCTTCTTCAGTGGCTATACAAAGACAACCTCACTGAGTGGACATAGAATCACAGAAAAGTGAAGTTGGCAGGGGCCTATAAGGCCATCAAGTCCAACCCCCTGCTCAATGCAGGAATACCATCAAAGCAGATCTGCCAGGTGATCATCTAAGTTTTTCTGTATTGTCTCCTGTGCTGGAGCACTCACCAA